CCCAGCCGGCCAATTGAAGGAAAAGGAGTTCCGCCCTAAATGAAGTCACATTCTCCCCTGGCGAGTAGAGGCCCCGCCCACACCCAGGGTACCCCTCTCGAGGGACCCATTGGGTAGGCTCTTTCGAGGACTCGCCGGGGCTCTGCTCCAAGAGACCTCGAGAGAGCGTGCGTGTGCCTCTACTCGCCAGCATTCTCCCGGGTTTCCTCGAATGAACAAACACTATTGCTAAAAATCTCCTCTCTCTCGAATGAACTAAAGAATTAAGCGTGAACCGCCGGACGCCAGCTGAAGCCGCCACCCCAGCTCCGCCTCGTTGGACGCGTCTTCCGTTGTCGCATCCAAGGACAAGGCGAGCGAGCGTGTCCCGACCACCCAGCCGGCCAAATGAAGGAAAAGGAGTTCCGCCCTAATGCCTAAATGAAGTGAGCGAACGAACCGCCATACCCCCCAGCTGAAGCCGCCACCCAGCCGCCCTTCCTTGGACGCGACCTCCGTTCGCATCCAAGGACAACTGCCGCGCGAGCGAGCGCCCGCGTCCGACCAGGCCGAGGCGCCCGAGACCTTCGTCGCGCCGGCCTTTCGCGGGCTTTGCGGTTTAGGGAGCAAAAGAACTAAAGGGACGGACGGAAAAACACCCCCCTTTTATGCCTGACCCTGGCCATGGCCTCTCTGGGGGTGAGCTGGGCCGGCCGCCTCCGGGTCCGCCACTCGCACGATGGGCTCGCGTCCGGGAGAGCATCCGAGACCCGCGGTTGTCCGCTCGCTGAGCGCGACCTACATGGAAATCCACTGCACACAGATCTGTGCTTTTGGCGCCTATTGCTCGCTCTCTGTGCAATCGCAACGCCAGAGGCCGTGCTTGGAGAGTGTGTCGCAGTGCTGCTACGTCAGTGGATTGAGCCGCGACGCAGGCTCCATCGGTGAGCTGCGGCGGCGCACCGGCCGCTCCATGCATGCTCTCCGGCGAGCCGTCGCAAACGCGTTTCCGTCCGCCCGTTTCATCGAGTTTGCCCGAGTGGTAAAATGCAATCGAATCTGCCCGAGTGGTCAAGTAAAACTTTGCCTTTCGTAAAAGTTGCCCGAGTGGTCTGTGGGGAAAAAACGAAAATCGAGACGGACTTCTTGAACGGCCGGGCAACATGTCTTCCTTAC